GTGCATTGAATTCTTGGGCAGGCATCTCTAAACCCTTGTTTTGTTCTGTTCAAGTTGCTGTACCATCATTTTATACTTTCCTATAGCTGCGCCATTGTCACAGTACCCTATGAATTGTTGTTTTAATTGTCCCCCAAAATATATTTTTATTGATCTTAGAGAGGAAGGGAAAGGGAGAGAGAGATAGAAACATCAATGATGAAAGAAAACCATCTGGGGATTGAGCCTGCAGCCCAAGTACATGCCTTTGACCGGAATCGAACCTGGGACCCTTCAGTCCCCAGGCTGATGCTCTATCCACTGAGCCAAACCAGCTAGGGCCAGGGATTTTTTTTTTTTTTAAACTTAAATTCTCTATTGTTGAAAGTATTACATAGATCTCCTTTTCCCCCATTGACCTCTCCCTGGCACATGCCCTCACCCACTACTGTCTGTGTCCATTGGTTATGCTCATATGCATGCAAACAAGTCCTTTGGTTGATCTCTTACCCCTTCCCCTCCCCTGCCTTCCTCTGAGGTTTGACAGTCTGTTCAATGCTTCTCTGTCTTTGGATCTGTTTTGGTTATTCGATTTATGTTGCTCATTAGATTCCACCAATGATCATGTGATATTTATCTTTCTCCGACTGGCTTATTTCCCCATGACCCGGGCTCACTCCCCGGCCCGGGACTCAGCCATCACAGAAGCGATCCAGAGGCATGGCCAAGGAAAACCTACTAACAGTGATTTCGTCTCCAGGGAGTGGATTTTATTCTGCTTCCTTTCTTCTGTAATCGAGGATATATTGCTTCACGGATATCAACTCCAATGTGTTTTTAATGTGTCATCGCACTCGATCTGATTTTTCAAATTGAAGGCCTCAGAGCTTACCCAGCGTTTGAGGCATTTTCCTGAGAATTGAGCTTAGGTTTTTGAAATGTTATTGAGTTTGTTTTCATATTTTAACAAGATTGAATGAGGGGGTGGTGTCTGAAACCTATTCCTTTTTATTCATGGACCGCCAGAGATGTAAAGAACAGCTAGTGCTTTTCGCTTACGGTGAGCGAGACATTTTCCTAAGTGCTTGGCATTTAGTCATTCATCTCATTTCACGACCTTCTTATGTGATTGTTACTATTGTTGTCACCGTTTTCCAGACAGGGAAACTGAGGCCCGGAGTGATGCAGTACTTTGTACAGGTCAGGTGCCAGGAGGTGGTGGGGCCCAGCTTCAAATCCAGGGAGCCTGGCTCCCCAAACGTCCTGTGTGTGCGCGGGAAGAAGGTTCCAGAGTAGAAATGCCCCCTTTGCTCTGTCTCGTGGCCTCTACATGGGAAAAACCCAAGGACTCCTTGCCATCTCTGCCACCCACGCCCTGGTCCAGGCTAGCCTGATATTCCCTTAGGACTGATGCAGTGGGACCCACCGTGCTCTCTCTGCTCCCGCCAGCGCCCCCTCCTGTCTGTTTTCAGTACAGCAGCTATCGCATTCACACAACCTTCCAATGGATTCTATTTCACTCCCAACACACTGAGTCCTTCCAAGAGCTTGTGTGATCTTTGATCTCTCCTCAGCACTTCTTTTTATTTTATTTTATGGATTTCAGAGAGGAAGGGAGAGGGAGAGAGATAGACACATCAATAATGAGAGAGAATCATTGACTGACTGCCTCCTGTATGCCCCCTACTAAGGGTCGAGCTAGCAATTCGGGCATGTGCCCTGACCAGGAATTGAACTGTGACCTCCTGGTTCATAGATCGATGCTCAACCACTGAGCCACACCAGCTAGGCTCCCCCCAACACTTCTTTCTCCATCCCCCCTCACTGCCTCTAGCCTCCCCTGTCACTGGCCTCTGGGCTGTCCCCTACACATGCTCTCTCCAGGCCTGCAGCCCCTCAGGGCCTGTGCACTTGGGGGTCCCACTGCCGGAAAGGCTCCTCCTTAGGCATTCCCCTGATCCTCCATATCACATTGGGGCACCCTCACCCTCACCCTGTAGCTCTCCATCCTTCCTCCCCATTATTTCTCTCCTGTGTGCTTACAATGGCCTGATAGGCCAGAAATCCTCCTCCTTTATTAGTTTAGTCTCTGCCTCTGAACACTGGCGTGAACAAATTATTTTCTGATTCTGTTTACATTCCTACTGTATCCCCCGAACTGAGAATCCAGTGGGCGTGCAATAAATAGGTGTTAATTAAATGAGTGCATTATGAAGTTGTTTTGGAGAATTAAGTTGAACTAGCATATGGAAAGCATTTTGTAAAATGCATAGCATGAAATTGGTATTTAATAAATGCCAGGTATTAATAAAATAATGATATAATAGAGATTTTATGAATGAGGAATTAAAAACTGCAGACTAGCATGTAGTGGCAAGATGATAATGAAGCTACAGATGCTTCCAATATTTTCACTGACATCCCCGACAGGTGCTAGAGGAGCCCATCAGACATCACCTGTGTCCTCTGAAAATCTAGAAGGGGTGCTGGACCCCAAACTTCCCTGGGCAGGTGAATGGTTCCTACACCTTGCTTCACTTCTCCACTTCGGGATCACCTGGAGAATCTTCTTAAATATTGACCCTGCCCGGCCAGAATGGCTCAGCGGTTGAGCATTGATGTATGAACCAGGAAGTCATGGTTCAGTTCCCAGTCAGGGCACATGCTTGGGTTGTGGGCTTCATCCCTAACAGGGGGCATGCAGAAGGCAGCGGATCAATGAGTCTCTCTCACCATTGATGCTTCTATCTCTTCCTCTCTGAAGTCAATAAAAATATATTTTAAAAAATAACAATAGCCCTGACTGGTTTGGCTCAGTAGATAGAGCATCGGCCTGAGGACTGAAAGGTCTCAGGTTCGATTCCGTTCAAGGGCATGTACCTTATTTGAGGGCACATCCCCAGTAGGGAGTGTGCAGGAGGCAGCTGATAGATGTTTCTCTCTCATCAATGTGTCTAACTATCTATCCCTCTTCCTTTCTCTCTATAAAAAATCAATAAAATGTTTAAAAAATACCAATAAAAATTTAAAAATATGTAAATGGATTCTGGCTTCCCCCCTCAGCTATTCTGATGCGATTGGTCTATGGTGAAACCTGAGCATTAGGGTGTGTAACGCTTCCTGGGTGATTGGAATGTACAGCAAAACCTGGCATCTTTGGAAAAGTTTGGAAGTTTTCCACAGAACTGGACAGAGCCTCGGACCAGCCCTGGGTGGCTGGGGTCTGAGGGGACTGGGTGCCACTGGGTGGCTGTGGGTGCAGTCATCTTTGAGGGCATGGCAGTCAATTAGCATATTCCCTCCTTATTGGCCGTGGGTGCTGCCATCTTTGTGATGGCTTGAGGGTCAATTAGCATATTCCCTCTTTATTAGATAGGATAATTATTATTTATTTACTTCAGAGAGGAAGGAAGAGAGAGAGAGAGAGAGAGAGAGAGAGAGAGAGAGAGAGAGAGAGAGAAACATCAATGATGAGAGAGAATCATTGACTAGATACCTCTTGCATGCCCCACCCTGGGGATCAAGCCTGACTGGGAATTAAACCATGACCTCCTGGTTCATAGGTCCACACTCAACCACCAAGCCATGCGGCTGGGCTAAAGTACCATGCTTCTCCACGTGACCTGCCCACCTGAGGTCTGCCCATGTCCTTTGCTGCTAAGCACATGCCACCATGATAGACATGTCTCATCTGTGAGCCCAGACCAACACCTGCAGTGTCGCATAAGACAGCCCCTCCCCTGTGAGCCTGGCTGTTTCTAGAATGGTTGGGGGTAGCACACCCCCAGGGCTAGCTCCATGGGCATGTGACCCATGCACTGACCCAAGGCCACGTTCAGCTCTCTGGGAGATCTTATCTGTGTGTTTGCCAGGGGCCCCATGGTTTCGTTTTGCAAATTACATAGCTGGTCTAGCACTTAGCGCTTCTAATCAGAAGATGTGGTGGGAATTGCACCTGGCTCACTCCCCTGAGCAGAGTGAACTTGGCCCAGTTATTCTTCCTCCTGTCATTGCGGACAGGAGGTGGGTGGGTCAATGGGCTCCATCGAAGGGGATTTTCTGAAAATGAAATAGGATAGCAGATGAGTGTCTGTATGCGGCCCTCGTGTTAGATCTCGGCAAAGGCTCTCTTTCCCCAGCGGTCCAGATCAAAGCTGCTAAGTGGAAAAGACATTTCCGTTTCGAAGGGATTTTAAACTTGATTGCCCTAGACAGAGAGATGTGCCTAAAGGCAGTCCCTGGAGGGTTTCCATTGATTTTCCTTAACTCTTATTAATTACACACGAGAACAGCAGGAATCCTCCTTCGACTTTCTTCATTGCATCTGAGCAATATGTTGTCTAGATGGCAGATAGAGTAGCATCTTTCAAGGTATTTCTTTCAAAATGATCTGCTTTTACTTAACTGAAGATTAGAGAGAGGAAATATTGAGTTAAGTGTGTGTCACTGAAATAATAAAAGTAATCTTGGCCCTAACTGGTGTTTGGCTCAATGGGTAGAGCACCTGCCTGCGGACTAGGGGGTTCCAGGTTCGATTCCGGTCAAGGGCATGTACCTTGGTTGCAGATACATCCCCAGTAGGGGATATGCAGGAGGCAGCTGAATCAATGTTTTCTTTCTCATCGATGTTTCTAACTCTCTATCCTCCTTTCTGCTCTATAAAAAAAAAATCAATAAAATATATTAAAAAATAAAATAAAAGTAATCTTGGCTTACATTGCTTTAAGGAGAGTTCTAGAATTCAAACTAAGAACTCTACCCTCAAAAGAAGGCTGCCTTGGATAATGTGCATGCATGAAGACTTCCTTAAGAGCCAGAGAAACACCAAAAGGTTGCAGGTTCGATTCCTGGCCAGGGTCGAATGGAAGACAGCGGATCACTGTTTCCCTCTCACATCGGTATTTTTCTCTCACACTATTCTAGTAAGCAGAATAGGTTTTAGACCAGCAGAGAATGAAATCACTGGGCCATGGCCAGCAGACACTGACGTCTTGCTTCTCTTGTGTGTGTTTTTCCCACAGTCACATGACACAGGCACTCCCATTTGATGACCCCCGGTTGGACAGCTGCCAAATCATCCCCCCAGCCCCGCGGAAGGTGGAGATGCGGAGGGACCCTGTCCTGGGCTTTGGTTTCGTGGCGGGGAGTGAGAAGCCGGTGGTGGTTCGTTCAGTGACACCAGGTAAGCAGCCCAGCCCAGCCCTCGGCTTCCTGGGACTGCCCACCATGCCCCTGCAGAGATGCCTACTGTTCATTTCCGCGAGTCTCATGCCAGGCTGGGAAAGCTGGTTTAATTTCCATTGCAGACTGGGAGGGCTGATGAATTTTCCCAGCACATGGCTAGGGTCAGACCACCAGAGGGACAGAAATGGCGATGGCAACAAGGTTTAGACTGCTAAACCCATTAGAAGGCTCCCTTTAGGCAAACACTGCTCTATCATTGGTGCCATGGAAATGACCCGCTCCTTAATGAGTGCATAAGAGTAACCAGAGGCAGGCACTGACTGCATTTCTGTCAGCTCATGACCAACTCCTTTAAGTTTAGTAACGTAAACACCACTTCCTGAGAAAAGCAGGAAGTGGTGTTTAAGTTACTGCAGGGCTTAGTCATGGATGTTGTTGGATTCTTTCACACAGATGCACTCCCCTCCCTTCCCACTAGGGGCAGAAGAGAGTTCCTTACACCATTGGGAGCCTTCCCACTAGGGGCAGAAGAGAGTTCCTTACACCATTGCTGTTGAGCAAGACCAAGTGACTGCCTTGGGCCCATGGCATATTAGCAAGGATGACATAAGCCAAGGTTTGAAAGATGCTTGAGCTTGTTTCTGTGGTTCCTGCGAGGCCATAGGCATGTCCCTCAAGGGGCTGCTACCCTTACAGCCTAAGCCCCAGAATGAACTCGGGGCAGCCAGCCTCCATCCTAGAGCTAAGTACCCCCTGGTCTTCAGTGGGACACAGAACTGCCCCCTGCGGCTGGCCTGGAGAAGCCCCTCTGTGGTCACCCCAAAGACCCATAATTAATTGATTATTGGACACCCTACTGAGATTAGGGGACGGGGAGAGATGTCATACAGTGAACACTGGCTCTTACAGCGTGTGGCAAATCTCTTAAATCCTATAATATGCTTGGATCACTTGTATCCTTCAATGAGAACTTGGCTCAGACATTCTCATTGGAGTATATGGATGTTTCACGATCAACACAGTTGAATATAAAGATGCAGTGGGCCGTCTTTTCCCTTTTAGAAACAATGCTCTTTTAGTAATGATTTATTATACACATTTATGTACTTATTTCAACGGACTCCTATGGACTTATCTTCAGACCAGAGCAAGCTTCTATGCTGCTTCTGGGATTTTGCAACTAAGTCACAGGATTGTTCAGAAGTGAAGAGCACAGGCTGTGGCATCAGACTGCCGGGGCCTGATGCCTTTGAACCCTGCCCCTGCCCCCTTCTTAGATATTTTAGCTTCTATGCGAACTCCTCTCCCTTTCAGTTGAACATAACTATTTTACATCATCTGGATAATGAGAATCATAATAGTATCTACCTTACAGGTACAGGGAGAGAAAGAAATGCATTAGAAGAGGGCCAGGTATATACACTGAGTGGCCAGATTATATGATCTCTGAATGCATAATAATCTGGCCACTCAGTATATATATTTTAGAGGCCTGGTGCATGAATTCATGCATGGGTGGGGTCTGGCTAGCCTGGCCAGGGGGAGGGGATATGGGTGGTTGGCTGGCCTGCCTGCTGACCTGCCTGCCTGGTCAAGGGGACAATTTGCATATTAGCCTTTTATTATATAGGATATACATTGAGTGGCCAGATTATTATGAGTTCAGAGATCATAATAATCTGACTACTCAGTGTATTTATTCCATAATGATCATTATTATTTTAAACTCTAAAATGTTTAATCAGCTGAGCCTTTCAGTTCTGGAAAATGTAAGCAACTAGTGAGCTAATATAAGTATTTTTAGGTTGACTTAAATTTTTATATTTTATTATCCTATATAATAAAACACTAATATGCAAATTGACTGAAAGGCAGAATGGCGGAATGACAGGTCACTATGATGTGCACTGACCACCACCAGGGGTCAGACACTCAGCGGAGGAGCTGACACCAGCCTGGTGGCAGTGGCATGGGGCGGGACTGGCAAGCAGGCAGTGCCAGGCTAGCCAAGGCAGGAGCCAGTGAGGGACCCCTGATCGCCTGGCAGGTCACCCTGCAGATAAGCCCTGATCGCCAGCCAGGCCGAGGGACCCTACCCATGCACGATTTCATGTACTGGGGCTCAAATTGGACACAATATGCCCCAGGACAATACCAAAAAAAGGTCGACCACTTTCAACTCCCTCACAGGAGAATAAGTTTCCTTTTCACTCCTACCACTGCCTCGCCACTTCAGATTCCATCTGCCCAGCTTCTAATTTCATTAGCTATGGCTTGCACTTTAGTTCTCTGTGTGAGGTTACAGAGCTGGACACAGCTGAGAATATTATCCTCAAAATAAAAAAGATCTGTTGCTTTTTATAATAAAATAACACACATGGTTTATAAAAATACAATGTAGTCGATAGTATAGAAGAAAACATGTAAAAAAAAAATCATCTGAGCGCCTCCTACTGAGGGTTGAGCATTATTCATGTACACAGAGAGCATGAGTATGGTAGACAGTTGTGTGCATATACACATATACTAGTACATATACATATGTATAGTATATGTGTGTATATACCCATTTTTTTCTCCTAAGTGTGAGCACATTGGTAGTCTGTTTTGGAATAGTAGGCTATTTTAACATATCTGGTTGTCAGATTCTCTTGGGAGCTGCCTTAAGATTTTCAATTTCTTGCATTACCTCACTCTTCCTTCCACCCCTCCTTGCCCCGGCTCTCTTTAGCTGCAGACACTAATACCTTCAGCTAGACAATTTTGAGAAGAGTAGAACAAAGTGAAAATGGGTCAAAGAGTACTGTCTCCAGTCATTTTTATGAGTGAAAATGCTGGTCAAATCAACTGTGTCTCTCATAAAACTGACTCTGCTGAGGTCCCTGGTGATTTCAGTGGCGTGACCAGATTTTCTATGCCAGGCAGCCCGGCCTTCAGACTAGAGGGCCGGTGACAATTCTTTGGTGTATGCCACTACTTAATATCTTGGAAGGAACTGTATGTTGCTTCCTCCAGAATTTTTGATTCAAGTCACTTGATTAAACAATAATATTTCCATTTAATTAAAAAGCATAGGTCAAATATAAGAGCATGTGGTATTAACCTGCAAGTGCTTTTCGCATCAGAGTAGTTAGCACCTCTGATTCAAACAATTATCCTGAAAATGTTTCTGTGTTTGACCAGCATTTTGAATGCTAACCATTCATTTGACTGAATTGGAGTGATTGCCTGCATATTATCCAGCAGCCAAAAAGCGTCTCTCGTGTGATTTTCAGAATTCCATGTGTGAACACTGACTGTCCCCTCCACAGCTTGAAAGGAATATTGTCCCTCACGATGCAGGGACATGTTCTGGTTGTTCCCTCTCTCTTATGTCCCAGAAAGGAGAGAGTTTATGCTCCCACTTGAGTACCGTATTTTCTGACATATAAGACGACTTTTGAAATGAAAAAAAGCCTGCTCAGATTGGCCAGAGTCAGAGAGGCAGTCTATTAAAAAAAGAACTGGTGTTGCCTTGGAAGTAAGGGGTAGTCTTATACAGTGAATATAGGCCTAATCCTATATTTTAACTGTAAAATTGGGGGGGTGGGGGGGGTCGTCTTATACGCCGGAAAATACGGTAACACCATGCCAAGTGTCTGAATGAGTGGACAACAATTGAATTGCTTTGAGCTCCATGTTCTGTGTGTCACATGTTTAATTATTCAGTAAAGTACAATAACATCATTTGTGTTTGTTTTTAATGAATTTGATGATGGTTTTTAAAAATATTCTAGAGGCCTGGTGCACGAAATTCATGCATGGGGGGGGGTGTCCCTCAGCCCAGCCTACACCCTCTCGAATCCGGGACCCCTTGAGGGATGTTCGACTGCCTAATTAGGCCAGATGCTGGTAGGATCGGGCCTAAACAGGCAGTCAGACATCCCTCTCACAATCCAGGACTGCTGGTTCCCAACTGCTTGCCTGCCTTCCTGATTGCCCCTAACCACTTCTGCCTGTCAGCCTGATCACCCCCTAACCACTCCCCTGCCAGCCTGATTGATGCCTAACTGCTTCCCTGCCAGTCTGTTTAACCCTAATTGTCCTCCCCTGTAGGCCTGGTCACCCCTAACTGCCCTCCCCTGAAGGCCTGATCACCCCTGACTGCTCTCCCCTGCAGAATGGGTTCCCCTTTCCCCAATTGCCCTTCCATTCAGGCCCAGTTGCCCTCAACTTCCCTCCTCTGCTGGCCTGATCACCCCTAACTGCCCTCCCCTAAAGGTTTGATTGCCCCCAACTGCCCTTCTTACAGGGCTGATCCCTCCCAACTGCCCTCCCATGCTGGCCATCTTGAGGTGGCTATCTTGTGTCCACATGGGGCATCCATCTTTGACCACATGGGGGCAGCCATCTTGTGTGTTGGAGTGACGGTCAATTTGCATATTACTTTTAGTATGTAGGACTGTTTATTGACGAGAGAGAGACAGACAGACAGAGAGACAGAGAGACAGAGAGAGAGAGAGAGAGACAGAGAGAGAAACATCAATGATGAGAGAGAACCATTGATCGGCTGCCTCCTGCATGCCCCCTAGTGGGGATGGAGCCTATAACCCAGGCATGTGCCCTGACCAGGAATTGAGCCACTGGCCTCCTGGTTCATGGGTCAATGCTCAATCCCTGAGCCATGCTAGAAGGGCCTCGGCTGGTCCAGAGAGCCTGATTCCTTCTAATGTGCAACCAGGGTTGAAGACAGAGCTAGAATCCCAGACGGGGTGGGCTTCCATTTTGCTTATCACATCCTTTGCTCATCATGAACCACGATCATAAGAGGAGGCTACGCTGGGTCGATCAGCCACTGTCTTCTCACCCACACTTCACTTTCATTTGTCTCCAGGTGGCCCCTCGGAAGGCAAGCTGATCCCGGGAGATCAGATCGTAATGATTAACGATGAGTCAGTCAGCGCTGCACCGAGGGAGCGGGTCATCGACCTGGTCAGGTGGGTGACAGGCTCCTGTGTGGGGTCCCACTGAGAAGGTGGCTGCATAGCTGAGGCCTCACTGGGCAGAGGATAGACTGTCCTGAGTCCATTAGGGCGGAAACACCCCCTACACACACATTCCCTTGGAGAATGCCCGTGACACTGAACTCTAACATGAAAAGCCACGTGTTCTGTAAACACAACACCCCATCGCTCACCCGGTGTGGTGTTAACATTCAGAGTGCATGCACTTCAGCTCTAAGTGGTTTTGAGTCCTAGCTCTCTCTAGTCAATTATTTCTCCTTCCAAAATTGCTCACACATTGACAGTCCATAATCCAGGAGCTCAAAATGCCATGCCTGATTCAGTGTAAGTGATGAGTAATTTCACATACGGAATCCCACAGAAACAAAACCATATAGTTCACTGATGTTTCAAATGTGACTGAGTAATTCATTATTGAACTTTAAAGTCACCAGCCAAAGGCAAAGGGATAATCGGTCCAAAGCTAGGACAGTTGAAAATGTGCTTGATTGATGGGTTTCATTGGATCATCAGTGTAAATAACTTGTTACATGATATTCTTGATGGTACCAGGTCATATATTGTGTGTGATGTTTACATGTTCGCCAAGCATCTCCTTAGGAACCAACTGGAGTTGTTGTTCAGTGCATTTAGGGGAAAGGGGTTTTGACTTTTTGCAAACGGAGCTGTGCCTAGCCAATGGTCAACAAACTCATTAGTCAACAGAGCCAAATATCAACAGGACAATGATTGAAATTTTTTTTGAGATCCACATTTTTTAAACTTAAACTTCTTCTAATGCTAATTCTTCAAATAGACTCATCCAGGCCATGGTATTTTGTGGAAGAGCCACACCCAACAGGCCGCATGTGGCTCGAAAGCCATGGTTTGCCAACCACTTAACAGGCCTAGCCTGTTAAGGGATGCAATCATCAGAACCCTTTAACCGGAGAAGGGCCTCTCCTACCATTTCTGCATTCTTATCACCAAAAGTCGACCTGTGTTTGGGGCCTGGCATTAAGTGGAGCATCTGGGGTTTTGCGGAGGTGGTCCCTCTCCCCAGCCTATTTGGCCTCAGCTTCACAGAGCAGCGCTGGCTGGTCCCGCATCCTTGGAAGAAGTGAAGGGAAGGGGAAGGAGATAGAGAAATAGACATAGAGGAAGCTGACTTGTAGGATGACCAGCCATCCGGGTTTCAGCAGAGAGAGGCCTGCATTTGGGGAAACCCTCAGTCCCAAGCCACTGACTCGCCCTACGTGAGTCCTGGTGTAACAGTGGAGCCTGCGTGGCTGGCTGCAAAGTCATGCCTGTCCTCCCTGGACATCCGGATCTCCAAGGTTGTTAGTATTGGGGGGGGGGGGGGGGGGAGGACGACGGGGAACCTCAGGGTGCACCTACTTTGGGAGAAAAGTTTAGCTCCAACTTCCCTGCGGCCCAGGAATACAGGAAGCGGGAGTGGCTTTGTCTTCTCCTGCCTGAGCAGGAACCTCACTGTTCATATTTGGAATTACTTCCCTCCTGTAATGCAGGAGGCTGTGGGCAGGGACATACCCCATCCAGGCAGGCTCCGCACCAGGCCAGAGGGCTGGCTGGCATCCTGCAGTGCCATGTCTGGGCCTGATGCAGGTCACACAGTCATTACGTTCCCCCTGGGCACATGCCTCTGTGATCAGTCCTCTTGATTCCTGTGCCTCAGGGACGAGAGAAGAAATGAAATATCTGTGTTTGTGTCTGCTGTGACTGTGTCGCCTGCTGCAGGACAGAGACAGAGCAAAAGCTATCTCAAATGTCATCACTTCCCAGCGAGCCTTCCAGGGCCTGGAGAAAGATTTTTTTAAATAAAAATTATGTTGTTTTTTTATTATAGAGGAAGGGAGAGGGATAGAGAGATAGAAACATCAGTGATGAGAGGAAATCATAGATCAGCTGCCTCCTGCACGCCCTCTACTGGGGATGGAGCCTGCACCCAAGCATGTGCCCTGACCCAGAATTGAACCGTGACCTTCTGGTTCATGGGATGATGCTCAACCACTGAGTCACAAAGGCTGGGAAGAAAGATTTTTTTTTTTTTGCTTCTGGTTTGCTGCATTATAGAAGAAAATGGCATCTCTGTAAACAGAAGTCTTCATAGGACTTTACAGTATATGTAATGGAGCTCAATGAATATTTGTTCAAATAAATGAACCACTTAAAAGTGGGGTAGTGAATGAGAGCTTGCAGTCCATCTAGCCTGCCACCTGGTTTTCACAGCCCATGAGCTCAGAATGCTTCTTGCCATTTTGAAGGGCTGGAATAAATAAAAAGACTATTTTGTGACACATGAAAATCCTATGAGTCAAGGGCATGTACCTAGGTTGCAGGCTTCATCCCCAGTCTGGTCGGGGTGCATACAGGACACAACCAATGGATGTGTCTCTCCCACACACATGTTTCTCTCTCTCGGTCTCTGCCCCTCCCTTCCACTTTTTCTTTAAAAAACAAAACAAAAAAACCAATAAATTAATGGAAAAATATCCTTGGGTAAGCATTAACACAAAGAGAGAGAGAGAGAGAGAGAGAGAGAGAGAGAGAGAGAGAGAGAGAGAGAGAGAGAGAAAGTCCAATGAGATTTATATTCAGTGTCCATAAATAGAGTTCGATTAGATGCTTTCTCTACCATATCAGAGTTGAGTACTAGTAACAGACTATGGCACGAAGACTGAAATAGTTACTATCTGGTCCTTTAGAGAAAAAGTTGGTCAAGCTCTGCTTTAGGAGATATTAAGGTAACCGATTGCATTTTTTTTTAGAAATATATTTTTATTGATTTCAGTGAGGAAGAGAGAAGGAGGGAGATTAAAATATCAGTGATGAGAGAGAATCATTGATCTGCTGCCCCCGTCACCCTACTGGGGATCAAGCCCACAACCTGGGCATGTGCCCTGACTGGGAATGGAGCCATGACCTCCCCGTTCATAGGTCGACGCTCAGCCACTGAGCCACACTGGCTGATCTGATTGCATTTTCTTTGATTAAGCTAAATTTGGACTAAAACCCCAAATAATAGGCACAGTTGACTTCTCTCAGAATGGGGCTGTGATTAGGCAAGATTCCCACACACTTGATAAAGAGACTGTGTATTTTAAAATGGACTGAAAGGGAAACAGGATGCTTTTGAAACATCGAGAAATACTTCAGGTACATAAAGCTCTCTATGCCTTCTCAAGGCTGTATAGGTGCTAACCTAGGAATTTTGCTCTTATAAAATAATGTCTTTTAACGGGCTCCTTAGCCAATATGAGTTTTAATGTCTACATCTTACACAAGATAAATATCCCATTTTCTTAGCCACTAAGGAATTTCAGGAAAAAATACTCATCATTTGAATAACACTGCAAAGTTTTCTCTTTAAAAACGAGCATATACCTTTGTGTGGCAATCGGGGGCAGATTGGCAAGTTCAATAATTGCAAAATAAACCATGTAGAAGGGCCCCGTTTAAAAATGAGGTCTCGCATGTATGTCTCTTTACCGGTCACTCCTCATCAGAATTATAATGGAAAGTTAAGTCAGATCATGTTCCAGAGCTATTGTGTCTGCAAAAGAGTCCATTAGGAAGGTCACCTTTCTGTCTAATTTCAGCCACGCTTAGATGTATGCCGGTACTGCTTAGTATAATAACAAAGAGCATCTGAGCATCCACCACATGAAATATGCATGATGATGTATGATATACTAGTGATAAGGCCTTCTTATGGGAAGACGGGCAAGCAATTGGAGTGAAAACACAAAAGCACAGCCCCTTGCTATGATGACAGAGCACTCTTGTCTCACAAAATACACACTTGTCGTGTGCACGCTTCCTGACAATTGCAAATTAAAGAGCCTAGTAAGGAAAAGGCGATGATTCTGAAAAATGGAATGTGTTGGAAACCATTCTAATGAGAAGGGGGTTTGATCCATTGTTCAGAAAGGTTATAGTGGCATAGAGCGATGAACACGAATAAGAAAAATGGTTTGACTCAGACTATTTGAGTGTCCCCTGGATTTTGTTAATGGCCATTGCTCACTTTCTCCTTCCATCTCTCCATTCTGTCGATGATTGAAGAACCAGAAGAAGTTTGAAACTAGGGCAAGTTCTCAATGATCTCATATGGCTGACATTACTGAATGTCTTAACATCTTGTATGAAGAAGGAAATTGGGCCCTGGCCAGATAGCTCAATTGGTTAGAGCATCGTTCCAATATACCTGGGTTGCAGGTTTGATCCCAGGTCAGGGTACATACAAGAATCAACAAATGAATACATAAACAAGTAGAATAACAAATTATACGGGAGTTACTACCTGCAGGGGTCAGTAGGGAGGGTCAGGGACACCACGGATTAGACAAATGCAAGGTTCTATACTAAACTAGTGAGTTCCATCAGTGGAACAATCCTTGATGCAGCCAGGAGGTCAACCTATTCTCCTACGCCATCTGCCACTTGGTGGCTAAGAGACCCTTAGACACTGAGCGGGACAGTCTGCTGGCCACCTCGGGCCTTTCCAGACTGGTGAGAGCTGTGTGGTCTCCCCCAGATCCTGGCATGACCGAGGCAAGAGGGAAACCTCTTAAGACCCAGCTGAGAATGTGTTTCCCACCAGTCAACGGGCCAAGAGTTCCGAGCTGAGATACATTTAGAGATACAAAGAAATGGCTTCTTTCGTACAACTAGTATCATAGAGGAAGAATGCCAGACACATGAATTAGTCTTATGTTTTTTGAATATATTTTATTGATATTTTTATAGCGGGATAGAGAGAGAGCCATCCGCTGCCTCCTGCACACCTCCTACTAGGGATGTGCCCGCAACCCAGGTACATGCCTTTGACCGGAATCGAACCTGGGACCTTCCAGTCCACAGGCCGATGCTCTATCCACTGAGCCAAACCGGTTAGGGCAGTCTTATGTTTTAATGTTCACAAAATGCAGAAGGAAAGACAGCAGGCACTTGCTTTAATGACATTTCTCCAC